CGACCATGAACACACACTAGATAAATAAAAAGCTAAAATTTAATTGCATTGATTTCAAATAACTGACTTTATATAGTGTAATATAATAAAATAAAATAAATAATAATGATAGAAATATTTTGATGATTTAATTGGATAGATGGCGAAGGAGCATGATGAATGTGAATAACAAAGTGATGTAGCTGCTTTTGTATCATACAATACGAGTAGATTTAATATGTCGCTATTCCTATTTCACGGCTTTGCAACAACAATCTAAACCAATTGCCAGGAAGTCACGATTTACGACTCGTGAGTGGAGGCGATAGTATAGTATATATTCATTATTTTACCAATGTTTTCCATCGCCTTTATATTATATTTTCATCCTTTACATTGAGGGATGGCTAAATTAATGTATGCCCTATTCAAATGCAACAATTTCAGGTGTAAAGATTAAATCTATACATATTGTAACTCGATTCTTAGGAAAGTTAATAATAATTATTTTTAACCATATTTATCTTTGACAAAAACAAAACAGATATATGTTTTTGTTCTCATTAAATTTATCAGCTATGCGCACACATGCATGTATGTGAACTAAAGTGGGTGAAGAAGGAAGTAAATCATTCCATTTGGCTAAATAGGAAAAAAAGTAGAAAAGGTTAAATTGTTATTCCAAAAAAAGTAAACAAAACGGAATTAAATTGTTATTCCAAAAAAGTAAACAAAACGGAAGCTAATGTTACAGCTTTTGCTTTTCTTTAGAATCAAGTTTTGTACATTTGGCCATCGAACCGAACACCAATACGAAATTTGTCATAACCTCATCACAAAATAACGTCTTTTGGTAATGATGAAAAATGAAAAATAAAGGAAGAAAACTTCCTACACGAAACGAGTTACATGTTTTCTATGATTCTATTACATCATTCCTTTTTCTTCTTGGTAACCGAAAGTATATAATAATTTTAAACGATTGTTTTTTTGGAGTTATATAACAAAACAAAAACTCCAAAATGTTAGATGCAAAAAGGTTTATATATCACTTTATTTCAAATTCGACTTTGGCTCCAACTATTAATTCTTCTATTCTGAAAAAGTATCGCCAACAGTGCATTAAAATGGATTAATAGTAGTGGGTTATTTTTTTCTTTCTAAATGCCATGCCATAACTAAAAATAAATCACTTGACTTAAGTTTAGAGAACATATATCAAAGTTTTAAAACTATTTTATAAATTCGAATTAACAATTTGAATACTAAAATCTACATTACGATGCAAAAAATAAGTTGAATATTTGGAACCTTTAACGATAAACACGGGATCCATAATTCGGTTAGTTTTCGTATCGTATTGCAAATTTAGTATCCAAGTTTCTAATATTTAAAATTTCAAAATATTTAAAGGTAAAAGAAGTTGAACTTTTTTTAAAAACAAGCTTTTAAAAATTCGAAGAAAAAATATTTAAAACTTGAATACTAAAATCTACATAACGATGCAAAAACAAGTTGAATATGTGGAATCTCTAACGACAAATGCGGGATCCATAATCCGGTTACTTTTCGAATCGTAATGCAAATTTAGTATCCAAGTTTCTAATATTTAAAATTTCAAATCATTTAAAGGTAAAAGAAGAACTTTTTTTTAAAACAAACTTTAAAAAATCCGAAGAGAAAATATTAAAAACTTGAATACTAAAATCCACATAACGATGCAAAAACAAGTTGAATATGTGGAATCTCTAACGACAAATGCGGGATCCACAATCCAGTTAGTTTTTGTATCGTAATGCAAATTTAGTATCCAAGCTTCTAATATATTAAATTTTAAAACATTTAATGGTAAAAGAAGTTGACTTTTTTTTTAGAAAAGACAAGATTTAAAAATCCGAAGGGAAAATATTAAAAACTTGAATACTAAAATCTACATAACGATGCAAAAACAAGTTGAATATGTAAAATCTCTAACGACCAATGCGGGATCCACAATCCGGTTAGTTTTCGTATCCTATTGCAAATTTAGTATCCAAGTTTCTAATATTTAAAATTTCAAAACATCAAAAAGTAAAAGAAGTTGAACTTTAAAACAATAAAATAATTTTTTTTTAAGATTTAAAATCCGTGAGGAAGAATAAAACAAAAAACGTTTTTAAAAATACAATTTTTAGAAGCTAATAAAAAATTAAGAAGGGATAGAAATTGACCTCAGTTTCTTAATGGGCATGTGAATGGGCTTTTTGTTGGGCTAAAGATGAGATTGCAATCCAAGACCTTCTTCTCCACCACCGTGTCCGTCACGGAGAACGCATAAGCTTCCGATGATCCTATCTCGAGAAGAAGAATCAGAGCATCATCTTCTTCCATCACGCCTCGTCCTTTGTCTTGTCTTGTGTGCTGAGTGAAGACGAGAATAGAGCAATCCAACAACTGAAACACAATAGAGAAGAGAAGTCTCGAGTCTATTTATAGACTGTGTTTGGGATGTTCAAGTTTCCTTTTTTTCACTATTTTGTGTTTTCCTTTTTTTCAACCTTCGTTGCTGTTTTCCTTTTTCTTTTTTTTTAAAAAATCTTGTGTGTTGTTGTTTCCTTTTTTTAATACAAGACTACAGTGTTGGGCTTTATATCTATTTCACTAGTTCAGAAAAATGGGCTTGGGCCGAATACAAACCCATACTTTTACCAATAATCTCCACACGAACAAGACCCATCTCTGAAATGATGAAACCTCTTTGAATCTCTACAGATAATTTCTCTCTTTATAATTCTTGATACGATCTTGATCCAACTGTGACAATCGACACAAACTCTAAGGTTCTTTAGAATCCTTATACTTCCACCAACGTTTCTCCAAACCGCGAAAGCTATGGCGAGTTTTTCGCTATGTTGATGCAGAGATCTCTCTTTTGCAGTCTCCTCCATGTCTTGAAACACACAGCTTTTGTCTTCAACATATCCCAAATCTTTAGCCTTCTTAATCAGCTCTTCGAGATTTTCAAGAATCTGCTCAGAGTTTGGATGCGAAAACAAATCTCCAGCCATGAATGTATGCGTCTCTTTATCGATTTCAACCCAACTCATTGCTGGATTCTTCTTTAGTTTCATTTCCTTCATTTTGCTCTTCATCTCAATCACCCTTTTCCATTTCCCAGTGGATGCGTAGAGATTTGACAATAGAATGAGAGTTCCTTCATCTCCAGGTGCTATCTCTAGGATTTTTCTCGTTATCCGCTCTGCCATTTCTACCTTTCTATGAACCTTACAAGCACTAAGAAGCGTCCTCCACAGAACCAAATCCGGGTTTGTTACCTCAGTTATAAGCATTTCCGCTTCCTCTAATCTTCCTGCCCGTCCAAGCATATCTACCATACAAGCATAATGATCATTCGTTAACATGATCTTATCCTTTCTAAAGGAGTCAAAGAGTTCGCAACCTTCCTCAACTAATCCAGAGTTATTACAAGCCAAGAGTACGCTCAAGACTGTTACATCGTTCGGCTGCAGTCCAAGATTTATCATTCTCTCAAACAACTCAAGTGCTTCGCGTCCAAAACCGTTCTGTGCATAACTATATATCATTGTGTTCAAAGATATAACATCAACTTCACTCAAGGTATCAAAAACCAACCTTGCCATGTCTGAGCATCCACATTTCCCATATAACTCAATGAGCCCTGATCCGGCATACTTATCTCTATCAAAACCATATTTACTCACGATACCATGAACCTGTCTGCCTTCTTCAAACATTGCGAGATTCGAACACCCCCTGAGAGCACTTGACAATGTAAAAGAGTTGGGCTTGACTGAATCACGCATCATTTTTCTAAATTCGATTAGAGCCGTCTCTTCTCTACCGTTTTGTACAAGCCCTGATATGAGAGACGTCCAAGTTACCTGATTTGGGTACTTAATACACTTAAAAACCAGTAGGGAATCATCGACTAAGCTGCACCTCAAGTACATTGTAAGAAGAGAAGTTTGCGAAGCAAGAGCAGACTCAAAACCGGATTTGACCATAAGTCCATGAATCAACTTGCCATTACCTATATCCTTTAAGTTTCCACAAGATATCAATACACTAGCGTAAGTATACTCGTTAGGCTGGACTTTCTCAACCAACATACTTTGAAATGCCTTCACGGCTTCAGTATCTTCACCCTTCTGCGAGTAACCAACAATCAAAGCTGTGATCAAAACAACGTCTTTCTCCTCCACGCGGTCCAAAACTAACTTTGCCTCCCTCGTTTTACCAAACTTTACATACATATCCACAAGGGCACTTCCCACAAACACGTTCGAGACTTCCAAACCCAAAATCACAGCAAGTCCGTGGCTTCTCTGTGCTTCCTTCTCAAGACTCAAATCTGAAAACGCCTTGAAAACACTAGACAACGTGTACTCATCTGGCAAAACATTATTCGAGATCATCAATCTATACATCTCAACAGCTTCCTTGCTTCTTCTGTGCTTAATGTAATAAGCAATAATAGAGTTCCATGTTACAATATGTCTCTCAGGCATTCCATCGAACAGCTGGCGTGCGTAACCGATCTCGCCACATTTTAAACTCGCGTCGACGAGTTTGCTGCCGGAAAGTTCGACTGGAAAACCTGATTTGAGCATCTGGGCTTGGATATTCTTGATTCCCGATATCGATCTTTCGTCTATGCATTGTCTGAGAAGCTGAGAGAAAGTGTGCGTCGTTGTCAGGGAATCACAAGTGATGCAGAGAAGCCTAAACTGGCTATTGATAGATAGTTCCGGTGAACAAGTTTTGGTGGCAAAGAAGCTGAAAAATCTCGAAAAGGCGATCAATCCGCCGTTATAATCTCTTCTCATCGCCGGCGCATTTTTCCTCCGGTCATTGTTTCAGACTTTCAGTGTAGCTCATATCGGCCCATTAAAGGTCTCTAAGGCCCATACTGGTTTTGAACTCGAACATATAACAGCCCATTTAGGCCCATTAGATAAACCCTCCCTGTTCAGGAAAATGTATGCAAAGTTTCCTCCTTTTCTCTTCTCTGTATTTTCATCATCGGAAAGATCCTAAACGCCACGATGATCCGTCGAATACAATCACGGTGCGAATCGGGTTTGACTGGTTCAATCTCCGCCGTCGAAGTCGTGAAGAAGAAATTCTCGGCGGATGTTAAGATTCCTTCTCCGTTCACTCGCCGGCAGTTTTGCTCGGTGTCTCCGCTGATTCGCAATCTTCCAGAGGACGAATCTGATCCAACGAGTGTTCCACACCGGCTATTCTCAATTCTTTCTAAACCCAATTGGCATAAATGTCCGTCCTTGAAATCAATGGTTCCTGCGATAAGCCCTTCTCACGTCTCTTCGCTGTTCTCACTCGATCTAGATCCCAAAACAGCTCTTAATTTCTCTCATTGGATCTCACAGAATCCGAGATACAAGCACAGTGTATATTCCTATGCGTCCCTTCTTACTCTTCTCATCAACAATGGATATGTGGGTGTTGTGTTTAAGATCAGGTTATTGATGATTAAGAGCTGTGATTCAGTGGCAGACACTTTGTTTGTTTTGGATTTGTGTAGGAAGATGAATAAAGACGAAAGCTTTGAGCTTAAGTATAAGCTTATTATTGGGTGTTACAACACATTGTTGAATTCGTTGGCTAGATTTGGATTGGTCGATGAAATGAAGCAGGTTTATATGGAAATGTTGGAGGATAAGGTTTGTCCCAACATTTACACATATAATAAAATGGTTAATGGGTATTGCAAGGTGGGTAATGTGGAAGAGGCGAATCAGTATGTGAGTATGATAGTTGAGGCTGGGTTGGATCCTGATTTTTTCACATATACGTCTTTGATTATGGGCTATTGTCAAAGGAAGGATTTAGATTCTGCTTTTAAGGTCTTTAAGGAGATGCCTTTGAAGGGTTGCCGTAGAAATGAGGTTGCTTACACTCACCTTATACATGGTCTTTGTGTAGAGAGAAGGATCGATGAAGCGATGGACTTGTTTGTGAAAATGAAGGATGATGACTGTTATCCAACAGTTCGTACTTATACAGTTCTTATAAAGGCTCTGTGTGGATCAGAACGGAAGTCTGAAGCTCTTAACTTGGTTAAGGAGATGGAAGAGAAAGGCATTAAGCCGAATATTCACACGTATACCGTGTTAATTGATAGTTTATGCAGTCAATGTAAGCTCGAGAAAGCAAGAGAGTTGCTAGGTCAGATGCTAGAGAAAGGGTTGATGCCAAATGTAATCACTTACAATGCATTGATTAACGGGTATTGTAAGCGGGGGATGATTGAAGATGCGCTAGACGTTGTGGAGTTGATGGAGTCACGTAACCTCCGGCCGAATACACGCACGTACAATGAGTTGATAAAGGGGTATTGTAAAAGGAATGTGCACAAAGCAATGGGAGTGCTTAATAAAATGCTGGAACGTAAAGTGCTTCCAGATGTGGTCACCTACAATTCATTAATCGATGGGCAGTGTAGATCTGGTAATTTTGATAGTGCATATAGATTACTTAGTTTGATGAATGATAGAGGATTAGTTCCAGACCCGTGGACATATACTAGTATGATAGATTCTTTGTGTAAAAGCAAACGAGTGGAAGAAGCCTGCGACCTGTTTGATTCTCTCGAGCAGAAAGATGTAATTCCAAATGTGGTGATGTACACTGCATTGATTGATGGATACTGCAAGGCGGGTAAAGTAAACGAAGCTCATCTTATGCTTGAGAAAATGTTGAGTAAGAATTGCTTGCCAAATTCGTTGACTTTTAATGCCCTGATTCATGGGTTATGTACCGATGGAAAACTGAAAGAAGCGACGTTGTTGGAGGAAAAAATGGTGAAGATTGATCTACAGCCTACAGTTAGTACAGATACAATATTGATTCATAGATTGCTAAAGGACGGGGATTTTGATCACGCTTATAGACGTTTTCAGCAAATGTTGTCCTCTGGAACAAAGCCCGATGCACATACTTACACAACATTTATTCAAACTTATTGTAGGGAAGGGAGACTGCAAGACGCTGAGGATATGGTGGCAAAGATGAAGGAAAATGGTGTTTCCCCAGATTTGTTCACTTATTCTTCTCTGATTAAAGGTTATGGGGATCTAGGGCGGACAAATTCCGCATTTGTTGTCCTCAAGCGCATGCATGATACTGGTTGTGAACCTTCTCAACATACGTTTTTGTCTCTGATCAAACATCTGCTAGAGATGAAATATGGAAAAGTGAAAGGCGGTGAACCAGGAGTTTGTGTGATGTCTAATATGATGGAGTTTGATATTGTTGTTGAACTTCTTGAGAAGATGGTTGAACACGGGGTAACTCCCAACGCCAAATCCTACGAGAAACTGATGCTAGGGATCTGTGAAATTGGAAATCTCAGAGTTGCGGAAAAGGTGTTTGACCACATGCAACAAAAGGAAGGAATATCTCCTAGTGAGTTGGTTTTCAATGCGCTTCTTAGTTGTTGCTGCAAGCTGGAAAAGCATAACGAAGCAGCAAAGGTTGTAGATGATATGATTTGTGTTGGTCACTTACCGCAACTAGAGTCTTGCAAAATCTTGATTTGCAGGCTATATAAAAAAGGAGAAAAAGAGAGAGGGACTTCGGTTTTCCAGAATTTGCTTCAATGTGGTTATTATGACGATGAATTAGCTTGGAAGATCATCATTGATGGCGTGGGGAAGCAGGGACTTGTAGAGGCATTTTATGAACTATTCAACGTTATGGAGAAAAATGGCTGCACGTTTAGCTCTCAGACATATTCACTGCTAATCGAAGGACCTCCTGATAGCACATAAAGGGCCTATATTATATCAATTTGCCAGAGGATCATGCAATTCTATGGAACTCATATTCTTTTGATCCATGACTCGACCTGAAAAATCTGCAAGTAGCCTTGTATCTTGTGATATTGCTACAGGTCATTCAATAAGGTAACGCACAAATATTCATTACTTTTTGGCTGAAATGTGTGCCATTACCATTCCATTTCATGCTCTAATCTCTCTTTTCTGAAATTTGATTTACTTGTTTTCAGGGTCAAACCATGGTGTAGTCGTTTCTCAGATTCATCTTGATTCTTGGATCATTGACTTTGAGACACAAATAAGGAGTGAATACTGCAGCCAAAGGCTCACTATTTACTTATTAAGGCACTGCAGTCTGCAGATGTAAATTCTTTAAATGAGTTGTCTTTTTGCTTGAAGAGAAGGCCCTTGAAGCAACCTCGTTAAGCTTTCTTGTTTATTAGGGGTATGGAACCTGACATTTTTTAACTCCTGGCAACATTTTTGTCTTCTGTTGCGTATAGTTGATCCATTGATTCTCCTTTGCAGAGTAGATCAAATACATGAAAAACAGACCAATGTTGGTCCGAGGAGGTCGGAGGATGTTGTGTTTCTTTCAGCCCAGAGGATTATTGTTTTCCTTTGATATTACAACCAAATTCTTTTTTTCCATCTTTTTACACTTTCATACAATATAAAGAAGATTCACACTGTTGTCAAAAAAGAAAAAAAAAAAAAAAAACATATCTGGTACTGCGTGATTCCAAAGACTCATGACAGATGGAGTTTTGATGTGTCAAGAGTACATCTACTCAGCCGCCATTAATGACTACCAGATGTTCAAACAGAAGAAGAGCTTTAAAGAATCAGTTATGGTCTTGTTTGTTAATCAATAAAGAGATACCATGGCCGAGCCAAATCTGAAGCTTCATGTTGCAGTGTTCCCATGGTTAGCTTTAGGTCACATGATTCCTTACTTGCAACTCTCAAAGCTCATAGCAAGGAAAGGCCATACCGTCTCCTTTATCTCCACAGCTCGTAACATTTCACGTCTTCCCAATATATCCTCCGACCTTTCCGTGAATTTCGTGTCTTTGCCTTTAAGTCACAACGTCGACCACCTCCCAGAGAACGCTGAGGCCACCACTGATGTCCCGGGGACACACATAGCCTATCTCAAGAAAGCGTTTGATGGGCTTTCTGAAGCTTTCTCAGAGTTTTTAGAAGCTTCCAAACCAAACTGGATAGTGTATGATATCTTGCACCATTGGGTCCCACCTATCGCTGAGAAGCTCAGCGTGAGACGAGCCATCTTCTGCACGTTCAACGCAGCTTCCATCGTCATCATCAGTGGGCCAGCATCAGTCATGATTCATGGTCATGACCCTCGAAAGACCGCTGAAGATCTTACCGTGCCTCCACCATGGGTCCTGTTTGAGACCAACATAGTTTACCGTCTCTTTGAGGCTAGGAGGATCGTGGAGTATCCCACGGCAGGTGTAACTAGGCCTGGGATAAAAACCCGACCCGAATTTTCCGACCCGACCGAACCCGAAGAAACGAATTCGGCATGCTTCGGGTATGAGAGATATACCGATCGGAATAGATGAAATTAGGACTTCGGTTTTCTATTCGGTCGGTTCGGTTCGGGTATTCCGATCGGTTACCGACGAAAACCGAAACCGGTCCCGCCGTGATGAACGCAGCCGCCATCAAACCGGTTCCGATAAGACCCGACAGCGTAATCGGGTCATGGATTAAGCTGCGGCTCCGGATACCACTTTCGTTTAAGGTGGTGAGAGGAGAAGATGAACGGCTCTGAGACGGAATTCGCCGGAAATTGGGTTTGGCGCAGCAGAAGAGAACGGTGGCTGTTGAAGCAATCGCCATGGAAATTTTTCTCCAATTTCCAAGTTCTGGTTTAATTTAAACCGGGTTTACCGTCGAACCGTCTTTTATTAATTTCCCAATACACACAAACAAATCAGAAATTTAAATGATATAATTTTGGTTGCATTTCGGTTTAAATCGGTTAAATTTTGAAAAACCGAAATAACCGATTTCCGAACCGACCAAACCGAAATCAATTTCGGTTATCTTCGGCAACATTTATAATTTCACAATTAACCCGAAACCCGAATAAACCGACCCGACAACCCGAACTCGCAGGCCTAGGTGTAACCGGAGTCGAATTGAACGATAACTATAGATTGGGTTTGGCTTACGTTGGCTCTGAGGTTATTGCGATTACTGAGCCATGGTTCAGTTGGTGGGTTTGTTACTCATTGTGGGTGGGGATCAGCTGTGGAAGGGCTTAGCTTTGGTGTAGTTGGTGCTTCTGTGGGGATCAGCTGTGGAAGGGTTATTGCGATTACTGAGCCATGGTTCAGTTGGTGCTTCTGTGGCAGAGACAATCAGACAGCTTGGAAATTTCAAGGAATGAGCGAGACGGGTTGTTCATGAGTGCTTCTGTGGCAGACAGGTTGTTGTGGAAGAAGAAGGAAAGATCTACAGAAACAATGCTGCATCTCAGCAAGAGATTGCAAGATCATTATGCGGATGGTTTTATCGAGTTTCTGGAGAATCCTAGAGCTGGAGTGTATAGCAAATAATGAAGAAGTTTACAGTCTTCTCTGTCAACGTCAGCGAGATGTGTAATAAGAGTTGAGAATATAAGGCACAATCAATGTAATAAGTAATAACAAATGTTAATGTTCTTCAAAGAATAATCAAAAACTTGGTGATTCCAAAAGATGTCAACCTATAATCCGACTCTCCCTTTTGCACATGATGATAATTAAACTTAGATGAAATATCAGATAAGTACATTGACCCAAAATGTTGAACTAACAGGGCTTTGTGTACACGTGCAACACAAATAAGTACCTTGGTCAGGGTAGTTTGTCTATGTACAAAATACTATTAGGTCGGTGGAGATCTCAGCTTATCATCCGACTCATGTTTAAGAGAAGAATCCCCTCCCATTAGTTGTTCGAATCCTTCAACCTTAACGGGTTGAGCCCTGACCGTGCCTGGTGTACTGCAAATAGAAAGGGGACACAACTTTCAAGACCTGTCGAGTAGGTATGGAACCATGTTTTTGAGTTTCGAGGCGTTACTTACGGTGTTTGCATTTGTGGAATTTGCATTGAAGCCAATTGCCTGAATTGGCTATAGCCCGGCTGTTGTTGCATATTTGACTTGGCAGCAATCTGTTGCTGTCTGAGTTGCTGCTGCATCTGTTGCTGGTGTCTTGGGTTCATAGGGTTGAAGGCATTTCCATCTACTGCCATATCAGAAGGATTCTCTAGCTTTACCTGAACCAGCGGCCGATCCTTTTCCATATCCATGTTGGGTCGCGGTGATGTAACTGGACGTCTACGCATTCTTTCTAGCTGTTGTTGCTGCTGAAAGTTTTGGGGATTAACCATTTGCTGCATCTGTGGATGCATTTGCCTCTGAATCTGCAATAAAATCGAATCAAGAACTCAGAGAAGTTAAACCCAAGAAAATAAGCATCCATTTCTATGATCGCTTCATAAACAAACAAAATCAATTACGATGCTAAATGATAAGAGCAACAACAAACATTATGTACATACTTGTTGCGGTAACCGGAGAGAAGCTTGTTGCTGTAGATGTAACTGTTGCTGAAGCACTTGTGGTTGTTTCTGATTTGGGGGAGGATGATTCCTAGTACCATCCTTAACAAGCTCTGCTAAACTCCCAAGATTACTGGAAAAAGGCGTCAAATTTAATCATATGAACAAAACTAAATTTGAAGTTTTATTACTTAACAGGTGTCTATGAGGAGATAGCTATGAAAGGGAAAACATATATGATAGGACACATCTAAAGATTTCAGACTTCATTACGAAAGATAGATCTTCATAGATCAGTTGAAAGAGGCAAAACCGCTGAAAAGAAAACTCACCTATATCCTGTAGTATTAAGGAACATCTTGATCAACTGCATTGCTGAACACTCCTTTTTGTAACTGTCACTGAGAAGCTTCAAAATATGGCCTAATTTACTCATATGTCGGCTAACCAACTGAGAGAAGACATCAATGGGAACCTCTGTTGCACCTTCAAATCCCATCGTCAGAAGCATGCGTGCAACAACTTTCCGTGACACCAGAGCTGCTTGATCGTCACTAAAACCCAATTTTTCAGCTTTTCTACGGCGTAAAACTCCTCTATCTTCCATCCTATGGTACTCAGGCATCATCCCAAGCCTCTCGATCATGATATGACTCCTGGTAGTAACTTGTGGTAAAGTATCAAGTACCCCATAGAACTCTGTTTTTAAGTTGTCTTGTGTTCTAGTAACCGGCGAAAGGGCAGTCTCAGGTACACAGTTCATTCTAAACATTGTCTCCGGAAGAAAAAGTATATCATCTTCTGAACTACGTCCATCAAAGCCAGAACTTGGATGTGTACTAGATCTACTCATATGAGCTAAACTTCGATCTTCTAAAAAAGGTGCACGCTTTCTCTTATGAGTATCCACAACTCTAAGGTAAGTGGACATTCCTTCAGGTGTGCGTTTATCAGATTCTTGTCCTCCAACCGACATTCCATACTTAAAACCATACCTTGAAATAAACTGAGTGTACCAAGTGTCCGGTAACTCCTCAAACCTCGACCTTTGAGAAAGATTACTAAAATCAGACTCACTACCTCTCGTCCCAGAGATAAAACTTGGCTTTGATAGGCTCTGAAAAAATCATCATAATAGAGAAATTCACAGATGCACAAAAGATAAACAAACAAACATAAAACTATCATTTAGTGATTCGGATTTAAATCAAAGGTGAAACCTTTCGAATCAAAATTAAATTCTAGACATTGTATATAACGAGAGCTCCTTGAATCACCTTGGTTAAGCTCTGATTGTGGCGAATCCCTCCGTCTCGTTGAAACCCACTTTCAAGAGAAGCATTCTCCAACGTGTAGTACACATCATCTCCATGTAGCTGTAAATCTGAGAGCGAAGCAAAACCAAAACTTCACAATTCAACACACCTGAGAAATTGGGTCTTACTAGCTCGAAAAAAGGAACCAAACATACAATTAGGATTGAGCTTGGACACCGCGACGGAAGAAACATCGGAAATGGAAGCAGAGGATGATGATGAAGCGGCGATTGTATTGGATCGGAGGAAGAGAGAAACGGTGGCTTTATCGAATAAGAGAGCACGAACGCGGAGCTGGAGCTGAATCTGAGCCCTACACTTGGATTCATCAACGCGCATAAAAGCTTCCCAGTTAGAAGGAGAAGTAAGGTAATGGTGGAAAGAAGAGTAGATAGAATCGCCGAGCCATGTCCGCCATACGCCGGACAGTTCGAGTCTTCTCGCTAGATCGAAGCCACGACCGTCGTCGCCGAGCAGTGCCATTGTCACTGTTGATTTTTCCGTCTAAGTTTGTCGGCCTGAGTCTGTTTTTGTTTTATCGATAATGGGCTTAGACTAATAAGGCCCATTTATTTTCTCCAGTAATGGGCTTAGGCTACTAAGGCCCATTTATTTTGCCCAGTAAAACAAAATTCAAATATATTGATTTTAAAATTTTAACGCGCCAGGTAGGGGTCGAACCTACGGCCTTCTGCTTAGGAAACAGACGCTCTATCCACTGAGCTACAGGCGCCAATTTAATATATTATTATGAACCAAATCAAATATATATAAGTTTTATTAGTCATTAATTTTAGGCTATTCGAGTCGTTGATGGAGAATTGGAAATAATATGAATATGATGATCATTTCATTAGTTAATTTATTTGATAAGATAATTTATTTGATCTTATGACAACAATATCTTTGTTATTTAATAACCTTAATGTTCGTCTTTTCAGTTGACGACGATAACTATTTTTCATGTAGACGTAAACACTTTCATGTCACATCCACTATCGTTGTGGTTCGGTTAGAATTTTATATACGAGTGTATATGACATGTTTGCGTTTTACTAAATACTATTCTCTAATTCGCTGTTGGATTAAGTGATCGCCTCTTAGTTTATCATTTAATCCATAAGTTTACACGTAACGCTTTTACATTTTTCTTTTAATTTTTTGTAATGCAATTGAACAATATGAGAACATTACGATCAACGCAATTGTGTTTTACGTTGATAGATTTGAATCTTTGCTTACTATTTGGTCTAAACCAGTAAATGAAAAACTAAACCAAAAACTAAACTAAAAAGCCTAACTGATGAATTTCGGATTGAACAGGAGAGTGTTTATGACTGTTTTAAGTGAGAATGAAATCGGTTAGACTGACTTCTTCGACAGAACTTGACATTGGTGAGTTTGGTGGTCTTTTTGATTTGGACTGTGGGTCCCAATTAAGAGATCGAAAGAGATTACATTTGGAGAGTCAAAATTAGTTAAGGGGTTTGGTTCACCCACTAGACAAGAAACCTCTTTTTCTCTCGTTATCACCTTTCTCAATGAAATTACCAATTAACTAATCATCTCATTTCACCAAAAGGCTAAAAGATAATTTTTTCCAGCAACAACTTCACTTAACTTGTTGTTTTTATATGTGCTTGGCTAGATAATATTACAACAAATAATATACACGTAAAGAAAATCGTTTTTGTCATAACAAAGCAATAAAGACTTCAACAAATAATCATCAAATCTACTAACATTTTTTTTTTGATAAAAATCTATATTATTGAAGAAGTCTTGTAACTTGGAGTTTTCTTCTGCTTTGATTCAAGCTAAGGAAATTATCAGTTTGACCCCAAAAAAAAAAAAAAAAAATAGTCTTGGTAGTTAACGCCTCAACTTTACTAAACCCACATATATATGTAGTTGAAATTTGACACATCTATGTTTATAGTTTTGGTTGGATTTTTCTTCCATGCATATCGTACTTCTTTCTAATTTATAATCATGATCGCATCACGTAAGCTAATCACGTAAGCTAAATCAAAAACTAAATTTTTATTTCACTTAATTCTTAAGTTATATACGAGAGCTTGAAGTGGTGGGACTAACTCAACTAATAAAATATGTTGCACCTGATGTGGTTCGGATATAGGTTTTTTTTTACAAAGCTTCATGATGACTCGTGACAGTCGTGTCGTGAACCAAAACAATCTCATAAATGTTTTCTATCTTACTTAGTTATAAAACGTGTTAAATTTGATGTTTACGAGTTTATCATAGCATTAAGATATGTCAAGTAACAACAACAATGGCTTGGTCAATAGGGTGGTCAAGTTTCTTTGCCATATGTTCCCACACTCGTTATGATGGCGCCACGATAACCGAAAATAAGTTAGCATATGGAGTACTACTACACTCTTACCTCGAAAGATTCACATTCGACGGCATTTCATAAATAAGTTCCGTGTAGGTTCACATTAATGAAGAAAATGCTGGGCCAGACCAGAGAAAAATAAAAACAAGATGTCAGTACTATTTCACATGGCTAATATTAAATTGCTGAAAATACAAATTAAGTGAAATTGTAATTTCGAATAAATAAAAGTAAACATCAGTCACAGTAATTACGGAAATGCCATTGACTAGCTTTGGATATTTCAACCGTCGGCGTGTCTGTTCGTTGGAAGGCGTTTGTTACGGCATCGTATCTTTTCGTCTTCTTCATCAAAAAAAAAAAACCATTAAATTTTCATATATTTAAAATTCTTATAAAAAAAGCTAACTTGACTTGCATGGTGGAGTTGTATAAATATAGCAGAGATTCCAATCCATTACCAGTCATCAAAACCTGATCTTTCTTCTTCTTCTTCAAACTTTTTTTGCTTTCTCTAAAATCTTCCAAGAATAACCATTTCTAAAGATATCTTTAACGAGGCAACAACACAAAAACACAAAACTTCTGTTCCCCTGTTTCTACGGATTCTCTCCGGCTCTGAGAGCTTTCGCTTTCTCCTCTCGGAGATGTTACTCTGCTTCCCTCTTTTGTGTTCTTTTTGTTTTCTGGGTGAAATTTGTATGAAGCTTTGACTTATATTTAGGGATTTTTTCAAAGCTTCTCACGAAGAAGCATCCCAGAGGACGTTAATTTTTCTCAAAGCTATGGCTGTTGAAGGTAAACAACGCTAAATTTAGATTTTTTTAAACAAGTCGTTAATTTTCCGACATGTTTCTGTTTATCTTCTGATTTTTCCTTTCTAGGTTTGTCTCCAAATTAGAATATCTTCATTTTTTTCTGTTATCATTTTCCTATTGAGGAATTTACGCAAACACGTTATGTGCATCGAGAAATTAGAAACAAAAAAAAAAAATATGCCTTTTGATTCATTGCAGAGATGGAGAAGAAGATCAAAGGAAGCCATGATACGGAGCTACATAACAACGACTTATCCATCGAAGATCCATCTCCAAGATGCGTGCTTGAAATACCGGCAATGAGTTCAGATTCCGATAACAGCAGCAGCAGCAGTAGTTGTAGCTCGTGTTCTCCTGATAAATCATCGTCGCCATTATCAACAACTCCTACCAATGTTTCGTCTTTTCATCAATGGAACAAGATGATCGAATCTATCAAGAAGAAATCAATTAGGAGATTCTCTGTTATTCCTCTCCTCGCTAGCTACGAGCTTACCCGTAAAAACATGCGGCGGAAACAGCCGAAGCTACTATCTCCGTGTTCAGAAAATGAATTCGATTGTGACCAAATCCTCGTCACTAAACCTTCGTGGCGTAATTTCACCTTCGACGAGCTCGTTGCCGCCACCGACAATTTTAATCCCGGTAAATTTCATAACTTTAAAAGACGAAATTACCCCCAAACTTTTTGAACCTTGTGAAACAGAGGTTTTGATCATGGGATTTATTGGTTGTTGTTAGAGAACATGATTGGGAAAGGAGGGCATGCGGAGGTGTACAAAGGTGTTTTACCGGACGGAGAGACTGTGGCGATCAAGAAGCTGACGAGACACGCAAAGGAAGTAGAAGAAAGAGTCAGTGATTTCTTATCGGAGCTTGGGATAATCGCACATGTGAACCATCCAAACGCAGCTAGGCTTCGTGGTTTCAGTTGTGATCGCGGTTTGCATTTTGTGCTTGAGTACGCTCCTCATGGCAGTCTTGCTTCTCTACTCTTTGGTACAAAAATCCTATCCCTTCTTGTGGTTGGTTTCAGTCGTTGTTGTTGTGCTGATGTTCTTGAAACTTTATGTAGGATCTGAGGAGTGTTTGGATTGGAAGAAACGGTATAAAGTGGCTTTGGGTATAGCTGATGGTTTGAGTTATCTTCATAATGATTGCCCTCGACGGATTATTCACCGAGACATCAAAGCTTCCAACATTTTGCTCAGTCAAGATTACGAAGCTCAGGTATTGATTGGTTGATTAATTGATTCAACAAGCAATCAACTTTTTTTTGTATACTGAGAATTCAATGTTTTGCAGATTTCGGATTTTGGACTAGCTAAGTGGCTACCAGAGAATTGGCCTCATCACATTGTTTTCCCTATCGAAGGCACATTCGGGTCAGACATATAATTCCACAGTTACAATCTCTTATGTAAAAACCTTTCTTCTCGATGTTCTTGAGTCCAAAACCTGGTTGGTTCTTTCTTTTTTCTTACAGATATCTAGCTCCAGAGTACTTTATGCATGGGATTGTGGATGAGAAGACGGATGTGTTTGCGTTTGGTGTATTGCTTCTAGAGATCATAACTGGTCGTCGAGCAGTTGATACCGCTAGCCGGCAAAGCATAGTTATGTGGGTAATGATCTGCCTTTCTCTTCTCTTCATATGCATCTTCCATCTTCTGAATCAAACAGTTAAAACAGCTTGGATGCTTTCATATAGGCAAAACCTCTTTTGGAGAAGAACAGTGTGGAGGAAATAGTTGATCCTCAGCTAGGAAATGACTTTGATGAAATCGAGATGAAACGAGTGATGCAAACAGCTTCAATGTGCATACACCATGTATCAACTATGCGTCCTGACATGAACCGGGTATGTTCCAAAAAACAAAACCGGTCTCACTATTGTTGTCATTACAACTTGGATGATGAATTGTTATGATTTTGGATGCAGTTAGTTCAGCTGTTGCGCGGAGATGACCAGTTAGCAGAACAAAAACCAGGTGGAGCAAGAACAGTGAGTCTCGACGATTGCGACTTAGATCACACCTCTTCCTCTTACCTTAACGATCTCACTCGACATAGACAACTCTTAATGGAGTAAGCAATCTGATGATTCCATCCTCCCACAGAGAAGAAACAACAAGAAGCAAAAATGTTTTTCTTTTCCTTTTTCTTGTCTGTGATTTTGCTTCTTTTGTCTCCATTGTAAAAATCTTCAAAAGAGGGAAAATGTTGTATGTATAATTTGGCTTGTCTTCAAATTCTGGTTGTCCCTCTGTCACTGTTAGTAAAATTTCAAAATTCAGATGATAAATCTCACAACTTGTAATGCCTTTTTAGGAAAAAAAAAAAAAAAAAAATTGATAGAAAATAAAGAGTGACTGGTTTAGTCTTCTGAGATTCAGAGAGAGCAAAAAAAAAAAAAGACAATGGCTACAACAGAAACAATCATACAAGGAGCAATTTTGGTGCTAACCTTGGTTATTTTCTGGGCGATTAAGTATCTCTCTCAACGAGGCCTAACCAAATTCCGAACCAAACACCGAGCTACACTCCAAACCCAGCGTCAGCTAATCCAAGCCTCTCGTCTCCTAGCTCGAGCCCGAACCACACCCAAAAAATCCCAATCTCAATCTCTCGCCAAAACGGCGCTCACCGAAGCTGATAATGTGATCTCGATTTCACCAGATGATGCCGCCGGTCACATCGTCCGTGCCCTAGCTCTAGATCTGCTCGGTCACCACACTTCTGCTCTCAAATCGTTCGATATGGCGCTGACTTATCCGCGTTTGAAGTCGCTTTCGGTTGGAGAACGTGCCGATGCACTTGTGAAGAGAGCTGAGATGAAACTGGCTGTGAATCGGCGGCGGAGGATTGATTCGGCTATCGAAGATCTGGAAGAGGCGGTGAGGCTCGCCGCCGGTACAGATACGGCGAGATTATTCCGTCTATTAGGCGAGTGTTATGAGTTCAAGGGCCTGAGTGAGAAAGCCCATTGGGCTTTTAATGAAGCTTTAAAAGCCCAACCGAGTTCGGCAAACGGGTCGTGATGAATGAGATAGACCGGACTAGGCCGTGGCATTTTTTTTTAATCTAATCTTATTAGAATTTCAGTTTATACCCTGCTATTTTTCGTTAATTCGGTTTGTGATCTTTAACTAGTAAACTCTCTCATTTACCCCCAAATTATATTTTTGACTCAGATTTAAAGAGTGTTCAAAATTTTGAAAATCTGAGAAAGATATTCGTATGGAAACAGAGTTATACCGATAGGCCGATTACATACAAAAAATGAGTAATAAAACCGATAGATAATCCACCACTAACAAAAGAAGATTACTACAAAATTGACCCCCAAAAGTTTTAAGCTTCTTCAACTTTTACCCCCTCTACTTCTGTCTTAGCCTACAGTTAAAAAGGAACTTCAAAGATCCATCCTTATAAACAGAATCAAGAAGATAAGCCTCGGGTCATCCGTTAGCGCGGTGAATAGAAGTCTAAGCAAGAACGAACCATATGATTCAGTAAGACTGGTTAGGCCACAAGAAAAACTCAGCTTGGTTCATAGGAACTTGAACTGTAGAGTCAGAAACCAAAGGATAATGCTGGAAGAAGTTCTGGTGGTGATAGAGAACTGAAGATTCAAATGGAATGCCACATGGGATTGAGTTAGGGTTGTGATCCGAGGAAGAAGAGGACGGAACCAAATGTTGTTGTTGGATGTTATGGTCGGAGGATGATGAAGAAGGAGATTCAAGAGAGAGTTTGTGGCGTTTCGCAGCTGCTCCTCCTACAGGGAAAGAACTTTTCATGACAGCTTCCACGTCATACCGGTTCATTTCAAAGTTAGTTACTGCGTTGATTCCTCTGAACTTTATGGCTGCAATGTCATAAGCCTCTGCTGCTTCCTCTTCGGTTGCTATACACATATATACGAATCAATGACTGGATTTTTTGGGTAAAAAATAGGTTGTTGTTTACTGATATAACGTTTTACCAAAGGTTCCGAGGTAAAGATCTTTGTTTCCTGCGACACGGCCGATTCTTGCTTGCCAACGACCTTGTTGGTGATGCCTTGTCACACCTCTATACATAGAAGCTCCTCTCGAAAAACCGCTACTTTTCCTGAAAACATTTACATTAACCAAAAGTTGGAATATTCCGATTTTGAAATCAAGAACATATATGTATAAACAATCTTGATTTGGTCTCTCACCTCCTAAGAGATGCAATAAACTCTAGCTTGGTCATGTGATTCATTTCCTCAAGTTCTTTTGAATAACTCGCGACCTATAATCGACAGACCGATGACAAGGTAAGTAACGAGCATACCAAGAATCAAAACAAAGTTAGCAAAACAGAGCAAAAAGGAAGAAATATAAACCGGAAAATTTGTAGTAGCAGTAGGACCCCAGTATTTTAAAGCTGCCAAGTCATAGGCTCTAGCTGCTCTATCTTCCTTGTCATATCCACCTTGAATCAATCAAACATGGACATCATTTGCCAAACTCGATTATATCAATTCGATAAATTTGTCAACAGAGTATTGTTTTGCTTACCTAAGTACACTGTTGAAGCCGCCATGTGAATGGAAAACCATATACCAAGGTACATGTAAAACAAAGAAGGACAGGTTTAGCCATCACAAAAATCATTAACAATGCTCACAGCTTATCATGTTCTTGAATCTATACACTAATTACTACAAACAAAATCATTGTAAATTTCATAGTACCACAAAAAGAATTTATGAGAAAAGGGTAAGAAGGATTTGATTAGAGTCAAAGCTAGATTCCTCTCATGTGTTCACAACTTCACATCACACTTTGCTTTTGTGTGTGATGTGAACACAAGACACAAATCAATCTGACACATTGTAGACATAGAGAACCCTACAAAATCTCCCTAATATCTAACCAGAAAGATTTCAAACATTCAATTTCAAACCAAAACGCCAAAAACACAAGCTAGCAAAAGAATATATGCATAGTGTCTAGATAGTCTTACACCACATGTGACATGTCTACTATATATCTATGCATGCATATCATTATTGTCATATAATAACACTGGAATAAAGGGTCAAAACTTAAAAGTGGGTCCAAAAATATGTCAATCAAGAAACAGAGATTGCATCATATAGGCATCAGCATTGGGGTCCCCATACAAGATGAAATGAGAGATTTTCAAAGATAGCTCTAATAAAGACAAGGAACAAAAATGGCGGCACCCTGGTAATGAAAAACTCAACAAAATGTATTTACATATTCTATTCTATTATTGTTAGTCCTTTCTGATTAAATTTCCAGTTTAAAATTTGGTTCTTTCCTTGACATTATGCCCATACACCAAAGTCTATCAGTCATCATAAAGAGAGACATATCACCTAAAAGGAAAAGCTTTTAAGTAATTTAATATTTTTATTGAATCCTTTGCATGCATTTTCTCTTTTCACTCTTTCTTTGACAAAACCTTTGTACTGCTTCTCTCTCCTTTTGTTTTCTCCCCAACCAGTAAAGTTAAAGAATAAACGTTTGTTAAAAACCCAAATAAAACTAGTTTTAGTTTCTATCAAAGACTCAAGACAAAAAATGGTTATGCTAGTGTACATACAAAGTTAGATTATCACATGAAAGTGAGAGATCATGTTTATCTAAATTAGCTACTTGGTGTTTTTGAAATGCCAACATTCAAAAGTTACATAATAATCAAGCAAATAATTCAAGAAACTGTTTCTCATAGTAAAGTAAAGAATGACTTTGTCCAAAAAAAAAAAAAAAAAAAAAGTAAAGTAAAGAATGAAAGATTATTACCTTGACGTCCTTTTCTGGCATGACCTTCCCTCCTACAGCTGTTGTCCCATAGATGTGCTTCGTATCTTCCAGTCCATCTATGTCTGCATCAATCAACACATACATATAATTGAACTCAATTCAAATTTTGTTAAATCAAATATCAAATCTTTTTCCCACCCACAACCAAAAAACAGAAAAAACAAAACTTTGAATGCATTGAATCCTTGTTCATACACTTCACATTGCATTTACAATTTCCCATGATAAAAAAGTTAACTTGATTTGGTAATCCAATAAGATCCCATTTTCAAAAATCTCAAAAGTTTCAATCTTTTTCCCCACCCACAAGCTATATATCAAAACTGCAATTGAAATAAACTTTGATAAATTCATAATTAAATTACCGGGTGACTCCACGATAAACCGAAGTTCTTTGTCCCAATGTTTCGACAGTCTTCTTCTTTGAATCATCCGATGTTTCCTTCTTAGACACTGTCTTCTTCTTGTTGCTGTTTTCACCTCTCTCGCCATTATTACAGCTTATTAAATGTTGATCTGATGTGTTGTTAACCCCTAGAGACAAAGCTCCTCCGGTGGTGCAACCACCGTTAAACCCTAACTCCGCCGTCGTTGATGACTCCACCACGTGACTAGAAAGATGAGTACCACCGATGTTGGAAGCTGTGGAGTCATCGACAATTTCTGATCCCGAGTTTATCGTCTTGAAATCGTGCTGCTGATGATGATCGGAGAAGAACTCTGAAACTCCTCCGGCATCGGTGTGGTGACGTAGATCGTAGAATCGAGTGAGAGAAGAAGAGTCTTGTGTCTCTGTTTGGTTATCAGAGTAACGAACGAAGGAATCACCGAGAAAATCTTCGAGCTTTGGAATCTGAGCCTGAGAATGGATTTGCGAATCGAAAAAAGTGGATAGAGTTGTTGAATCCGCCATTGAAGCAGCAGCTTCTATATCAGCTTCTTCTTTGAAAGCTTAAACCAAAACAAACAAAAAGTTAGCAACTTTAACTAACCAACACACACTAGGAACAAAAGATTTTCCCGAGAAAGTTCACTGAGAAACAGAACCCATACGTTGAAGACGTCTCTTTTTCATTTATAAAAATCCAATCTTTGTTCTGTTTTTTTGTTTTGCCTTTCTCGGGAAAAAGACAAATTCAGCAACCGAGAAAAGGAGGAGAAAGGAGGCTTATGTGATTGAACTCAGCAACTTGTATTAAAGAGGATAAGTCGGTTAACAGAGAGAGGCTGGGTAAAGAAGAAAAAAGGGATTTTTGTTACCATAGATGTTATCGATGAGATAAGGAATAGAAGAAGCGTCGTAAGAAGAGAAGTGAGATTGATCAGGAGGCGATTTCAACATCTCCATTGGTGACAGAGAAAACGTCATTGGAGGAGCCATCAAAGATTGTAACTTTTTTTCAAGTTGAAAAATCTGCTGAAAATGACAAAAGATGATTTAATGAAAGCAACTTGTTAAATAAAGCCAATAGAAAAAAATGGAGAAAATAAGTAAAACCTGATCAAAGCGGTTACAGTCTCTAAACCTTTTTTTGAGCTTAGAGGTTCAGGTTTTGCATTTTGTACGAAAGATTTGAAGAGAATGCCAACGAAGAAGAAGATGATGTACAAGCAAAGAAGCTCTTTTTAAAGACAGAAATTTTTTTCCTAATGAGACAAGACGAGAGAAAAAAAAGAGTAAATGATATTAAATTTACTCAAAAGGAAAAATTTACCAAAATGTAAAAAAAAAGAGGTATGAAAGAGAGAAAGAGAGACAATGTTGAGCGGTTTCTTCTGTGTCGACCGGCGTGGAACCGGAGAGGATGTTTTTTTTATAAAAAGAGTGATACTTTTGCTTTTTGTATTTGTCAAACTCAAATGATAATCCACCACACAAAAATCATTTGTTGATTACTTTTTTTTTTTTATAACTCAGGGGAATCCCAGACCTATGGAGGAGCCCAGACTAATCCCTTGGGGAGGTGTAGCCCACAGATAGACTCTCTCTCCGGGTATGCAAATGGGCCGAAAGCAAGGGCCCATATCCATGTGGCCAAGTGGAGATCTAGCAATTGCGCGCTTGCGGGGAATCGATCCCTAACCTAGACCAACAGGGCAACTCCTCCACAAGTGGCAATCACTAGACCAAGAACACTTGGTTAAGATATATTTAACTTAATTATATACTAACAAATATTAGTTGGTATATATTTTCCTTAAAATGAAAAATTGTGTACGAGATTTTTTTTTTTTTTACAGCAAATAATTGTGTGAGTTATAATCGTAATTATTTTAAGTTATTTTCTATATGTCTCTTGTTGATTACTTATTGTTTGATTAGTGTTATTATTATGTGATACCGTAAAACAATTTAAACGGTAAGAGATTTTAAGCGGAGATAGATAGAGAATCTTAATATTCTTTTTATGTTATGGACTATCACGTATGCTAGATTTTTTACCATTATGGGAAATGATTTACCAATCTAATCTAGGCACGGCATTCGAATATTCGGATAGGGCTTGGATCGAGTTTTTCCTATTCGGATTCGGGTTTATCTAAAGTATCTAAATAGTAAAAAATTTGTATCCGATTCTATGCAAAATATCGAAAAATATTCAAAAAATCTATAAAATCCAAGTATTTTTTATCCGAATCTAGCAAAAAATAGCTAAAACGCCCGAAAATATCTTAACATCCGAATAATTTAGGCACATAGGTTATTACAAGTATATTTTTTTTTTTTTTTACATCTTTGGATCGACAAGGCCCGATCCATAGCCAATCCCTACTACGCAGGGTAACGCGATTTAGTGGAGTCGAACTCCGGTAGAGAAGGCGGAGTCAAGTGGATTTAACCACTTGACTAAAGGTTATTACAAGTATAATTATTACTACTATATTATAACTATGTACTTATATTTCGGATATGTTCGGGTACTTGTTCGGGTTTTCGGGTTCGGAAGTTTAGAACCCGTTCGAGTATTTTAAAATTTCGGAGTCAGGTTCGGTTCTTCGGATTCGGGTATTATATCTAGGCTAATCTAATCCATTAAGCTAAATAGGAAAATGGAATTAAGATTTGAGTGTGAATTGAACCGAACCGAAGCAGATATAAACTACCCAAAACTCAGTCTAATCATAACTTTGTTTTTTTCTTTCTATTGTTATCACTAACTTGGACTAGAAAATAATAATAATCTGAAAATGTTATTTTCTTTTGATTCTTAGAGCATGTGCAGTGAGAGATTCTCTCAAAATCTCTCAAAATATATTATTATAATATATATAAATTAGTTTAATTGTATAATTAAATTTTGAGTAATAAATTTTTTTAAAAATCAACTGCAGGTTGCCATGTGTGATATGAGTCTCTCAAAAGGTTCTCAAAAGTTCTCATATGAGAACCCATGCTCATGTTTCTCTCTTACTTTTTATTTATTTCATTTTTTATATTCTTGAAAACATTTATGAGAACCTCCCACTGCACATGCTCTTATTTTTAAACAAAGTGTGTACTTATGTGTATATTGTATCTTTTTTTTTGTTTTTGGGGGTAAATGTGTATATTGAATCAATAATCAGAAACTAGGAAATATTTTAATTTCTTTTAGTTCTTTGTTTTCAATTTCATTAGTAAAAGCCCTATAATAAAAATAATGTTTTAGGAGGTGGAGAGGTGGTGTTTAGCACAGCGGAAGATAGATTTTGTCTGGAACAAAGGTCGCAAAATATCTGGGCCGAGGTGACTAATAATAAGTAGTACATCACTATGATTATTAGGCTACAAAAATAAAAAGAGAGGCCCAGCAATTAAGGATTAATGTCGTCTTGTTTAGAGAATTTTTCTTTTTCGTATCCTAAAACTCTACTATAGTGAGAACCCTTTTATACCCCAAGTGTTGACAGTTTTTGGGCTTGTTGTTGCCTTTTTGTTTAATCGAGTTTTAAGAATTGATAACCTTTTGGGTGGAGAGGTCCAATAATAATAAGCTGCTTTTGAACCTTTGACCGAAGCGGCACGTGTGCGACCTTGTCCTCCTCTCTAAATTAATTATCCTACTTACTTTAATTATCTTTCTCTAACCTTTTTGCTTTGTCTATATTTTGTCATAATTAAACTCCTATTCTACAAGAGACCTTCTATTTATTTTTTGTTTTGTAAAGCTAAACATAAATCAAAGGAAGGCAAGAGATGGATAAACTGAAAGGAGCCAGAGATTTTTTTTTAAAAGAGTCTTGTTTTAGTCTCACAACATCTTGTTAATGTGGGCAAAAAAGTTTCATACTTCAATAGCAATACAAAAAACTTCAAAAGTGTATAAAAAAAACTTTGGGATTAGTTTACTATAGCTAATGAGAAAGAAAATGAAGCTTTTGAAAACCCTAATTGGATACTTATGCTTGGTCACCCGACATGTTACAAGCTAACACGTCTCGAGAATTTTCTTCTCCTCAATTATACTTGAAAATTTAGTTGAAATGATCATTCCTTTTCATGCCTAATCTATAGTATACATTTTCATATATATTTCGAGTATTATCACTTCACCACTATTAATAAATTAAATATAGATGAAAATTCACCTGTTTCCGTATCCGTAGTCAACTAAACAAGATAGAAAAAGTCAATAATCTTTTATCTCTCGGATCACAATTAACATAAAAACAAGAACAAAAGTCTTGGTCTTTGAACAAAACTCAAAACGATCATCATCAGAAATCAGAAGAAGATGGAGGAAACAAAGAATCAAGAATTGGAAGAAGAAGAAGTAGAATTAGGATCAATAATGGAGAAAGTATATATAGCTGTAGGAAACGATGTACAAGAAGGTTACAAGACGATTCATTGGGCTTTAAAGAAATGGAACAACATACCTATCTCCATTGTTCTTCTTCATCTCTGCAACATTTCTCAAGATTTTGTTTACACCCCTTGTATAATCTCTTTCTTCTCATTTCACACCTCTTCTTTTCCTTTTTATCATACAAACCCAATTTTCACATGTGTGTTTGATTCTTATAGTTGGGAAGCTTCCAGCGAGTTCTGTGAGTGAGGAAAAGCTTCAAGTTCTAAGGAAATACGAGGAACAAAAGATCGACAAGTTGTTGTCCAAATACATTACTTTTTGTGGAAAGGTTTGTCCTTTTTCTGTAAATTTTGTTTTATCAGGGTAGAAATCGAAGTAATCTGTTTCTTGGGGTCTTAACATGCAAAATTTTCCTGTTATTAACAGTTACAGGTGAAAGCAGAGTTGCTCAAAGTTGAGAAGCAAGATGACTCAATTCAAGTGTTGATTTTAGATTTAATCTCAAAGCTTAGAATCACAAAACTTGTAATGGGAATCACTTTCATGAGATCTTCATCATCTTGGTAATCTTTTTTCCTTTAAATCTAAAGTTATCAGTTTCAACCCTTAAAATGCATTTTTTGTTTCTTGTAATGCAGGAAATCGAAGAGTGCGATAAGCGGATCGTTCTACGTTTATCAAAACAAACCAGAGTTTTGCGAATTATATATAATTTGTGGAGGCAAAATGGTTTCACTAAAGAGAGATAATGATGTGAACAACAATAGCAATATCAGAAGCTGGATTGGTAAGATGTTCCATGATCCAGGAAGAAATCTAGACAGTTCATCCGGCAACAATGATGATCCAACGTCTAGTGGAAGTTCATGGGATAAGAATTTACACGAGATAGAGATTTATTTCGAGCAGTTATTGAGTTTGAATCTTGAAGAAGAAGTAAACGAAAACGTTGTTGAAGAAGAACATGAGGAAGATAATGATGTGGCACTAAACGTGCTGCAACATATGGTAAAGATACTATCAGAATATGCTTTTTTGTTAATATGATTTTTAAAACTATGATTAAATATTATATGTTGAAATTGTCAGAATGTAGCAGAGAAGTTAGAGTACGTGAGAAGAAAGGTTAATGAAGCTAAGCTGATGATAGATGAGAAAAGACTAGAAGTCAAAGTCAACGCTGAAAGATCAGACAAAGCTGAATGGGCAATCTCTTTATGCAGTAGCAGAGTAATAGCTAAAAACTAAAACTTTGGAAATCACATACTTAACAAGAACTGAGATTCATAGTCTTAAAATACGTTTTTGGTTTGAATCAGATTGAAGAGCTTGAAGCTTGGATTAAAGAAGAAAGCGAGAGACGAGAGAAACTTCAAGTGACGTTAGATTCGGATAAAGAATGTATAGAAGAAGCGAAGAACTATGTTGAAAAAGGAAAAACAAAGCTACATTCACTTGCAGAGCTTCAAGAAGAGCTCTCAAGTAAAGTTAAGACAATGATGGAAGCTAAATCGCAGACGGAGGTCGAGCTAGAGAGGGTTGTGTTACAGAGAGGAGAGATGATTATGGAGATTGAGAAACTTAGGAATCAAAGAGATGTTTTCAATCGTAGGATTGAGTTTTGCAAGAAGAAAGAGGCGATAGGTTCGGTTTCAAAGGAAGAGGTGAAGTGCGGGTATAGAGAGTATGTTGCAGAGGATATCAGACTGGCTACGGAGAGTTATTCTGATCGATTGAGGTTGAAATCTGGTGGAAATTGGACAAATGTCTACCGAGGAAGGATCGAACATACAACTGTGGCTGTGAAAGTGATTGGTGATTGTTTATCAGATGAGGATTTTGGAGCTAAAGTTAAGCTTTTGAATGAAATTAGGCATCCTAATTTGGTAGCAATTGCTGGTTTTTGTTCACAAAGGCCTAAATGCATACTCTTTGAGTACATGCATAATGGGAACTTAAGGGATAATCTATTCACATCGCAGAGGAAATCGAGAAGAAGCAAGATACTGAAATGGCATGATAGGATTCGTATAGCACACCAGGTTTGCTCTGGTCTCGGGTTTCTCCATTCGGTTAAGCCTAAACCGATTGTCCATGGTCGCCTTACGCCGTCTAAGATCCTCTTGGACCGTAACCTTGTTCCGAAAATAACCGGGTTTGGATTTATAATGCATAGCGATCAATCTGATACGAAACCTGATGTGATGGCTTTTGGGGTTTTGCTTCTGCATCTTTTAACCGGGAGGAACTGGCCTGGTTTGCTCAAGGCAATGTCTATGAACCAGACAAGCATTCTCAGGGATTTGGATCAAACAGCTGGTAAGTGGCCACTCGAGTTAGCTAAAGAGTTTGGTGCGCTTGCAGTGAAGTGTTCTTCAGTTAACAGAGGAGGGAACACAGATTTTTCAACCAAAGAGATAATGGAAGAGCTTGGTAAGATAAGGGAAAAAGCCGATGAGTTTAAAACCACAGGAGGGTACGAGGAAGCAACCAATTCAAGCATCGATGAAGGAGATCCGAATGACATACCAAGTGTTTTCATGTGTCCCATACTTCAGGTTAAATCAAATCCATATTTTTCCTTCTCAGTGATTACAGCAGTGAATGATTCACAATCTAACTTGTTGTTGTTGCAGGAAGTGATGAAGAATCCACATGTTGCAGCAGACGGGTTTTCGTATGAGCTTGAAGCCATAGAAGAATGGCTAAGCATGGGACATGACACATCTCCAATGACAAATCTGAGACTCGATTACCAGATGCTTACACCAAATCATACCCTTCGTTCTCTGATTCAAGACTGGCATAGCAAAAGAGCAGCACAAGCTTCCTCCTAAATTCTTTTGTATAACCTCGAATTGGCAAAAACACAGACCTCAAAAGGTTTCTAATTCTATATATTTGATCATATTATTGTAAGTAATCAGTAACAAAGGAACGATCTTGACAAGCTTAACTCACAAATAAGATGATCAAAATGGACATAATTGCACATAGCTTTCATTTTTACCTTAAGCTTCAACAAAACAAAATCTATGGTTCTTAGAAATTTGCTGCTGAAATTAACTTAAACTGCTACTATCAAACAACAAACAAACAAGGGACATTCAAAAGTAAAGAGATCCCACAACAAAAAGAAGAAAAAAAGCAAGAGGAAGAAGAAGAAGAAGACGATGATGACGCTTCCTTCCCTTTTATTTAGTCGATACAGGAGAGAAAAGGCGGGCAATTCGATCTTTCTGCTCTTGGAATCGCCGTTCTAAGAAAGTCTCAATGATCTCCATCACCGAAACGAATCTCTTCATATGCTCCAACCTCCGGCTTAGCTCAGCTTCTCTCGCCCTTGCTCGTCTCAGCCGCGCCTCGGTTTCCGCCAGCCGGTCGCGAAGATCTTCTACCACCACTGAATCGTCATCTCCGTCGTGCGATCGGCGACGGAGGCTGCTTCGCGACGAAAACGATTGATTGTGACCATAACACATCGTAAAGGAAAGAGAACACAAAAATCAATTCTTCGGACTTCGGTTTTGGGTTTCTTTCTAAAGGAAGAAGAAGAAACTGAAACAGAAAGGGTGTTTCGGTCATTTCATAAATATAATTTAATAGTCAAAACCTTCTTATTTAGCCAGAGGATTTCAGTTCAATATAAAATCAGTCACCGGCGGTGAAAGAAGAAGAAGAAGCGAGAACAATGTCGAAGCCTTCTTCTTCAGTCTTCTTCTCTGAAACCTCTTCTCGTCTACCTGACGAAACCGTTTACTTCTCCATATTCCCGGACTCATCTCTCTCCAGCGCCGGATCAGAAACCTCCGCCGCTCTTCAGTCACTTCACTTGGAAATCATCGATTTCGTTTCTCCGTTTACTTCTCCTTACATATGGCAACACGAGCCTTTCTCTCTATCCATAGCTCTCTCTTCCTCTTGTGCTTGTACTAATACTGCTATGCCTCATCTTCACGGGAAGCTCAAATACGGTGACAATCTGGAGGACGAATGGTTCGCTGTGTTCTTGCTTTTTCGAATCTCCGCTGCGTTTCCGTCTAATTCGATTCGTGTTTGGGACACAGACGGCGAGTTTCTCCTAATCGAAGCTGCTTTTCATCTCCCGCGTTGGCTCAATCCGGAGACTAGTCTCAATCGTGTCTTCATTCGCGGCGGTGACCTCCACATCGTTCCTAGAAGCCGTTTGCCTGATCCTTCTTTAGTTGCGTCTCTGCGGTTTCTTATCGAGCGTGGTGACGAATCTCGTGCGTCGGATTCAGTTCAATCCGCGTTGAAGAATCGGATTTCTGAGTATCCCGAAAGAGCGTGGAGGAATATGCATCGTGTTAGGGTTAGAGTTCCGATATCGGTAGCTCAAGTGCTTAGGCATGAACCTCTCTTGATTTCGCTTGCAGTAGAAGGGTTTTACGATCGTGATATGGATTCAATGAAACACGCAGCGAAGATGGAGAAGTTTCTGAGCAAAGGAAGAGAAGAGAAGCTTGTGCTTGTTCTTGTCAAGATGTCTCGTGCAATGTACGGGCAGCTAGTGCAGCAGAAGTTTCAAGCACCAAATTGTTATCCAATGCCTAGTGTCAGTGACAGGGATGCTTTCTCCGAAGCTGAGCTAGGGATGAAAATAGCCTGTGGCATGGAAATGATGTATCAGCAGAGGAAGAAGGAAGGAGAAGCTGGGAAAGGGATTAGCTGGACCAAGTATATAGACAATCTTGAGAAGAATGGTTATTTTGAAGGATTGATTTCTGGTTCGAAGGAGTACAAGAGGTTGATGGAGAATGCTGAGGAATACTACCAGAAGAGTTCTTCGTTTTCAAGGACAAGGTAATTGCAGTTTTTGTTTCCATAGGTAGTGAAAAGGATTCATCTTTGAGTTGATCTTGAGTACTTGTTTTTTTTTTTTATGTGCAGAGACATTATGAGTGCACCGGTGAGACGTATTGATGAGATTCTTGCTTTACCTTATTCGGAGGATGACTTTAAGGGTCAGGAGGTTCCTGCTTCTGACAATGATTCTTGGCTCTACGATGGTGAAGATGAGCTAAACTCTGTTCTTCAAGAGAGGCAGAAAGAGATGGAGTTTTATAACTCAAAGAAGGAAAGCAAAAAGAAAGGTAAGGAGAAGCAAGAAGCTGGAAGCTCATCTGAAGCAAACATGAACAATTTTGACCTCGGTGATATCTCAAAGTCGATGCAGCAATTCATGCACAAGGTATCAAGCTACAAAGGAGCAGAAGTTCCAGAAAACAGGTTTGTCCATTATATTGAACATTAATCATTTTTCATGAACATCTCTTTGTCAATTTCAAGCTCAACACATTGTATTTTCTTTGCTTGACTTGTGTAGGGATTTCAAAGAAGTGAATCTAGATGTTGACCGTTTCATGAAAGATATTGAGTCAATGCTAGGGAGCCAAGGTCGTGACAAACAAGCTGATGATGACAGTGATGGCTCTGAAGGATCTTCTATGGACATGGATTTTGGTAATTTCTTAGTTTTTTTTTTGTTTTTTCCTAGTGGCAACATATACAAATCTGTAAGGTGTGGAAGGTGTGTGCACTTACTAAAATGTTATGGTATGCAGATGACTTTGAAGATGATAGCGAAGGAGAAGAGTCTAACGAAGATGCTAAGGAAAGCTTTAAGGAATCCTACTATGGAGCAATGAATGAGGAACTGAAAAACTCAACTCTTGAGAAAAGCTTTGAACATGTGAATCAACAACATTCTTCTAAGCAAAAAGAGGTATCATCTTGGAGCCAGTTTTTCCTTAGACTGTCTGTGAATTTAAGAGCTTAAGATTTGATTTTAATGGTGTTTATGTGCATCTGCAGGAATCATCAAAGACTTCAGATGAGAAGGATGGTGATGAATTTACACCAGTTGATGCAGATTTTAACCTTGTTAAAAACCTACTTGAATCCTACTCTTCACAAGAAGGACTTCCTGGTCCTGCTTCCAATTTGCTCGGCCTCATGGGTTTGCAGCTTCCCAAGGATTCTAGCGACAAAAACTGAATGCTGTTCAAAAATGTAGTTTGTTTTTGGGTTCACTTTGTTTAATCACATAATCGTAAGTAACGTTGTTGGGGAGTTTTTGTGTTGTCGAAAGTAAGCACATGACATGTGATTCAAGAAAACAAAATATGTACATGTACACTACTATTACACATCATCAAACCACAAAGGAACAAAAGAAAAAGATTTTTTTTTTTCTCTTTTTTTTCCAAACCCAATATATCTCGACCACAAAAGTGAAGCAGAAACGCTTTCACAACCGAAAAAAACCCACATGAAAAATATCCAATACTCAAATCATATCATATTCATCTTCATGTTGCTAAGTCTCCATCACCATCATCTTTGTCCATTAGTAGATTCTTGAGATATGACTTGGTGTTTTGTTGTCACTCGCTTCGAACAGAAAATCAAAAGAAGTCTCCAGAAGCTATCTTGCTTCTCTTTCTTTTTTTTTTTTTCCTTTTTTTTTTTCTAGATTATTCGATTCTTAATTCTGATACTGAAACAACAGGGAAATAGTCTTATTCTTCCCAATCTCCAGTTTATAGCTTCCCCATAGACGACAGCCACTGTTCCATGTTCTTCCCATCTGCAGTTAACATGTCATCAGAACCAAGAACAACTCAATTTACAACCAAAGACTCAAAACAATTATTTAAATCATCTTAAAAACATGCAGATAACTTACTAATTGCTACTAATGAAGTAATGAATGATGATGATAATGGAAACAAACATTACCAGGAGCAGCAGGAGAGAAGAAGCCATTCGGAATCTGATTCCCTGAACCATCCAACACTTTCTTGTAAAGAGGAACCAAAACCACAAAGCCACCACAATCATCCTCCTGAGTTTTAAAACCTGGTCCATGTGGCTCAACCCAACCAATTGACCACTCTGGATCATCTGGTTCAGGAAACACCACATTCCCCATCTTATCCTCTTCTCCTGATCCTGATCCTCCTCTTCCAATCCATCCTCTCTTGGTCTTCTTCACCGATGAAGAGGAAGAGCCAGTCTTAGTAGTAGTCTTCTTCAGTGAAGGACTCAGCGAAGAAGATCCTTTAGACATTGACTCTTTCTTCTCTCTCTCTTTAGTGTTACCACCACACAACCACCTCGGAAGACGAGGAAAAGAGACTGCCATCTTTTTTTCTGTTTCCTTCCTAAAGAAAACTCCGAACCTCCGGAGAGAACTCTTATCAATCAGCCATGTATCGATCCTTTATCTTCTTCTTCAACCTATTCACAATTTACAAAAAAAAAAAATCAACCATCTTCATTAATGAAAGCATCATTATAATGTCACCATAATGATGACACTGACCTAACACAAACAAATATAAAGACTTTACACAAATTTCAGAAGCCAAATGACAAATCTCTTATCCATTAATACTGTTTATGATGTGATCGATTAGATTAACTCATCACATAGATCAAACACTCAATTTTATTCAAATTCAATTTTCAATGAAATTTCAGGCTACATACAACGAAGATCTCAAATTTTTAAAATTTTTAAAATTTTCCATTGTTGATTCTTCATCAATGGAAGGTAATTAATGCCTTCATCAGATCGGTGGTTCAATTAAAAAAACCGCTAAAAATAGAAAAGCGTAAGCGATCGACAATTGAAGTAACAAATGAAGATCAAAATCCTCCGATGTCCGCCAAAAGACGGCAAGGCTTCGCCGGAAAATTCGGCGGAAATAAATGCGAAAATTCGGTAGAAGAGAAAAATCTCCGGTAATTGCGAAACGTAAATTACCGAGAAAGAATAAGAAGAAAGAAAGGGAAAAAATCAAATCGACGATCGAAGAAACCCTAAGAATCGCGTCGTTTCGTCCGTCCGTCGTCTCTGACTCTCTTCTCTTCTTCTTCTTCTTCTTCTGACTTTTCTCTGACTTTGTACAGAGAAGCTCATCTTCTGCTCTGCTTCATTTATATTACTCTCCTTTCTCATTTTTTTATTTTTATTTTATTTTATTTTAGGCCGTTTTAATTGGGCCTCGCTTCTGCGAAACCAGTAAAGATTGATCCGACGGTTGGTAGCGGTTTACTTGCTTTCGTGGCAACTGTCGGTCTACGGTTCTACTATACACTCCACAACACTTGATTCTTTCTACCCATTCAGAAAAGTAAATAAAAACAAATATCAGGGATTTATACGTAGAAAATCAACATATAATATTAATGATAATAAAACGAATCTATTTTCTTGTTAATTTTAATTTTTGGTATAATGATGATAGAAATCTTGGAATTATCAATTGGAAATAATTAAAGTTGATGCATTATTTCCGGAATCAATCATCTGGTTTCTCTATGGATTTTTGTGTAAATTATAGAGATGTTCACTAGTAAAGTTTACCAAACCGTAAATTAAATCTCTATTAAAATCCATGAAATTTATATACTATAATTGTTGTTACAGCACTAATTACAATTTAACAACATTATCAAAGATCAGCCCAAAAAAAGAAAAAGGAAATATAGGTTGATCTTAAAACCTATCTGTAAACTTAACTACTTAAGTACTTAACCAATAGACTAAATATCAACCGTGTTAATAAAATATTTGATTAATTAATTAACGGTCGCAAAAAAACCTGCAAAATTATGGGTAATCTTTTTCCAATAGGTCTTCTAGGTAATCTTTTTCCAATAGGTCGTCAACTTTTGTTGGCTACAATTCAAGGCTCAACTATTCCTTTCAAAATATTCACTGCTTTTCGTTTTACTTGTCGTTTTAGGACTTAAATTTTGTTTAGTAATAATTATCGTTTTAGATTTTCAATGCAAATGTTTGGTTGGTAAAAATTCTAGTATTATCCTTATTGTTTTAATGTTTTGGCCAATGAAAAAATTTATAAGATATATCAATAAAGGGTAAAACAGAAAATTTAATGCTTTTCTTAATTTGTGTGAGAAAACCTTAAACGACAACTAAAACGAAACGGAGGGAGTATAAAGTTTTTGAAAAAACTCTTTTGTTTTAAAATATAAGTTTTTTTCAAATTTCTATGTAAATTATATATTACTTTAATATTTTATGATTATTATGCAATCTTTTTTATGATTGGCCGTTTTTAAAAAGTAAATCTTTTTAATCGACGTGATTTTAGCTACAACGCCTTATATTTTGAAACAGATGGAATACTAATTTATTTCAGTCATTAATAAGTTTCACATCTTCAATTCTCAAAAACTAGAACAAATTCATATACGAATATTACAAGAAATAAATGTAGTGCATTGATCAGAATCTGAAGGTATTACTAATAAGCATATTCTATGCACTTGTAGTGCTTGTTACTTGTTAAAATTTAGGGATTATCGATCAACTTGAACTTTACTTATTTGCACAAATTATCACTATCGCCAACTTGTCTTTACTTCTTTTGCACAAATTATCATTATCGCTACAATGATTTGTATTATTCATATTCTAATCAAACTATACTCTTTTTATTAAGCCTCAAGAACACAAAGCTAAACCACCAACTATCCTCATCACAAGAATCATAGTTTATTTTTATTCTTATCAGACTTTTAACTAATCAAACATGGCACATACAATCAGGAGCAGGATAAGTATATATCGACTGTTTAGGTTTCCTTAACCGGATCTGTCCTTGTCTATTCACATGTCCTTCACCAAGCGCTTGTTGAAAATCTACCCAAGTGATGCTTTTGTTGAGGAACAGCTGTCCTATTAACGCCATGTTTGGTCTGATCGTCTTGAGATTCTCGAATGTTCGATGACCAACAAGAGCATTGTGCATGTTTCCAGGTGATGCAGAGATGAAAATGTCGCTGTGCATACTAACGTAATAATCAAGTGCAGCTAATAAAGAAGCTTTGCCTTTGATTCGAGCTCGTTCTTCAGAAGATGCAAGACTTCTTTTGTCTTCCATTCTTGGGAATACTTGTCTTAATGTTGAGATTCGAGCTTCTCCTCCATATACCTGTATATTCGATAAGAAACAGAACATTATTAATGACTAATGTTCCGCTGCATCACATTATAACCATACTTTGAACAAGTAATGTAACAGAAGAATTCTGACCTTGTGGGATGCGAGGTAGAGACGAGTATTGTTGTCGAATCCGAAAGCAGCTAATAGAAGTCCCATTTCTTCTGGTGTTAGAGGACAACGTCCTTGACTTCTTAACTCTTCATCTGTGAACTGGGAATTTAAAACTCTTCCTTGCCAAATCATTTGCCTGTATTTCGCCAATGCAAGTTTCTCGGCTTTGCCTCCACCGAAATCACACGCCGAATGCGCAGCCATGTCCTATAAACATAAAAAGAAGAAAATCTTCTTATGATCAAATAACTAACAACAATCGTCAAATATCTAAAGTAGGATGGAGCAAAGTATAATTTACCTTGTCGAAGCGAAGATGAAGTACGGCAAACTTCCCGGGTTCTTGTCTTTTGTGTGGGTTGGTCATGTCTCCTAAATGATCCACATTTTTCAGTTCCTTATTGTTTCTCCATGATGGGTTTCTAAGGCGGCTCACAAGAGCATCACCGAGTGATGTAATGTGAGGGACAAAGCGTAAAGCTTGGAAATTCACTTTGCACCTTAGCCGTTGAATCTCAGCAGGTAAGTGATCGAACGATAGACGGTGAGAGAATGGAGAAATAGCAGCAATCCCATAACTACGAAAACAAGAAAATAAGTTCAAACTTTTTAGTATGAAAGTTAAAAACTTAAACTATGACTAGTCAGATTAAATGCAAGACATACCTTTGTAGAACTGGTGAGACGTTCTCAATATACCAATTCGCAGAGGCATGGACAGGTGCGGTTTTCACACGGGTTTCTCGGACTGCTGTACCGTAATACTCTCTAGTACTCCAAGAGTATTCATCAGGTAGTTCTCTAACTACCCTTATGTCATCTTTTAACGCATCAATAAAATGATCAACATCGAAGATATCAACAAAAGAACTGCACACAGAAAGAAAAAGCTCACAACTTAAGCTTCGAATAACCGGAGGCAACAACACAAACTCATCAAATGATAAGACTTTTTCTAGAAACATTACCTTGAATCTTGCCACACAGGATTCACTTCAAGATACGGGATCACAAGTGTGGCGTTTAATATTTTGGCAACCGCAACTGCATCACATATCCCCATTCGTTGCTGGTTAAGTCCCCCATCAAGAAATACCTGAACATATCCCGCAGTTTTATCCGGTAATGCTGCTCCAAGACAACAAGATTAGTCAGAGATCAAAATCATCGAAAAACTAATGGGAGATTTTCAAACAATTTGTCAATACTACTTACAAGGGGAATTTCCCAAATCAATACAAGGACTCCATCCTTGATCAGTCAATGGCCTCCATAGGTCAGACTGTTCTCCACTTGACTGAAATTATAAGAGACAACAAAAAGCCATAAACCTCCTAACTTTCTGAAATCAAAAAAGAAATCATGAAAGAATCATTTAAATCATTTAATTTTACCCGTTGCAAAGCACTCTTTAGCAAAGATAAATGTCTTGGCTTAATTGTGATCACTTCCTGCAAAAAGAAATGATTTGATTTTAATCAAAAGAGCTTCACTACATAACTCAAGAGAGACTCTTGACTTGAAATTGAACAAGTCTGAGTATATATTCCGGTCCCAAACTAGTCAAATTTGTAATAAAAGCCCAGATAATAAAAAATCAATCCGTTAATAAAATCTTAAAATTCAACAAACCACAGAATTAACAAGAGTCAAACACACAAAACACAACCACCGTTGATGTCTCTCTTTCTATTTGTCTTTCTACAAATGTATTCAAAATTGAGAAATTTCTTCATTAGGAAAGTTAATACTACTATTTCTGGAAATCCTAAAAACCATACTTCAGTGAACTTTCCAGAGACAACAAAACGAAAAATCCAAAAGCTGATATTTTGTATTTTCCCGGAATCCAACCAAAAGAATCCCGGAAAAACAGGGAAAGAAAGAGAATTTAGTTTTGCCCAACTCACAGATGACGAAGACGAAGTCGAAACGTTGTTGCAGAGCAAAACGACGAAGAACAGCACAGAGAGAATCCCTCTTCTGTCTTTCGCATCAGAAAGATTCATCCTTTTCTTCCCAGATCCAGTTTCCGGGAAAGTTGAAGACTTTTAATCAATCAATCAATACCCAGAAACGAAACAACCAGCCGAGAACGAAAGATGAGAAATTTGCCGAGAAAGAGACACAGCAGAGTCAGAAAGAAACGAAACCAGAGTCACATGAATCAGAATGCTCTCTTGTCTTCTTCTTTCTTCCACTTTTTTCGGGGTTTTAGTGAATCTTAATCTTCTTCTTCTTCAACACACTGAAAAGAACAAGTTTTAGGATTAAAAATGTTGATCAAGTTCCCAGAACGGTTTATGGTAATGGAGAGAGAGAGAGAGAGAGAGAGTGTGTGAATACGTCTCACATGGACACCTGTTCATTAAATTTGCTGTCTGTCTCCATTGGGTCCCACCCCGTCTCCTCTTAATAAAAAAAACACGGCGAGTTTAACCTTTTACTCTCGTGACACGAAAACGGATTATTAATTAATTTTTGGACTCCTGAATGACAACGTTACATAATTACGGAATTATCGCACTTAATGACAATACAATTGCGGTATTAAATATTTAAACTTTAAAGTTCAATGTAATGTAATATGGAAAACAATTTTTATATGACGGTATCTTTTTAAGTATAGGGAAACAAAATCTAGAGTTGCCTCATTTGTTTTTACTTTTTTTCTATGACTGACTCTATTTGGTACTTAGTATAAGTCTTTTTCCTATTGTGTTGTTAATAAATTGTGAAATAATTTATTTTGCTGTTATGATGATATATAACGTCTAGACGTATATCACGGTTCTATATAATTAATTACATATAGCCTAGGATTATTAAGATT